TCAGATTGGATTTAAGAAAGGAGAATGGTCGGGGTGCCTGGGTGGCTCAGTCGTTGAGCATCTGCCTTCAGCTCAGGTCATGATCCCAGGGTCCTGGGATCAAGTCCCACATCAGGCTCCCTGCTCCGCGGGAAGCCTGCTTCTCCCTCTCCCACTCTCCCTGCTTATGTTCCCTCTCTCGCTGTCTCTCTCTCTGTTAAAAAATAAATGAAATCTTAAAAAAAAAAAAAAAAAGAAAGGAGAATGGTCAAATGTTTATGACTAAGAGGACTGGTTTGGAAAACAAGTAAAGGCTAAATAAATGGAACTAACTTGAATTCATTCATTCTTTCAAAAACTATGGATGGGGGCGCCTGGGTGGCTCAGTTGGTTAAGCGACTGCCTTCGGCTCAGGTCATGATCCTGAAGTCCCGGGATCGAGTCCCACATTGGGCTCCCTGCTCAGCGGGGGGTCTGCTTCTCCCTCTGACCCTCTTCCCTCTCGTGCTCTCTGTCTCTCATTCTCTCTCTCAAATAAATAAATAAAATCTTTAAAAAAAAAAAAAAACTATGGATGGCCTGGGGCACCCGGGTGGCTCAGAGGGTTAAGTGTCCCACTCTTGATTTCGGCTCAGGTCATGATCTCAGGATTGTGAGACTGAGCCCCGCGTCCAGCTCTGCACTGAGCATGGAGTCTGCTTGGGATTCTCTCTTTCCCTCTCCCTCTCCACTGCCCCCCTCCCAAGCTCTCTTGCGCGCGCGCTCTCTCTCAAAAAACAAAAACAAAAAACTACAGATGACCTTTGAACAATGCAGAGGTTAGAGGCACCAACCAACTCCCCATATCCCCAGCAGTCCCAAATCCTCAGATAACTTTTAACTCCCCAAAAACTTAACTACTAATAACTACTGCTGACCAGAAGGCTTACTGATGACATAGTCTATTAATACATATTTTGTATGTTATATGTACTATATACTGTATTCTTACAATAAAGTAAACTGGAGAAAAAAATGTTATTAAGAAAATCATAAGGAAAATACATGTATAGTGCTGTACCGTAAAAAATCCCCATATAAATGGACCCACACAGTTCAAACCCATGTTGTTCAGGGTCAACTGTATTTGAGCGCCTACTTTATGCCAGGCCTATTCTAGGCACTGGGGATATAGCAACCAACAAGACAAAGCCTCTGCCCTCATGGAGCTTACTATCGAACCCAAAAAACAAGTGAACAAATATGCAGGGAAGAATCACCTAAGTCAAGGCCTTCTTGTCCAGAAAGCAGTAGAGAGCAGTACAAGAGTGAAACAAGGGCCAGATTGTGATAGACTTTGCAGGCCTGCATTAAAAAGTTTGGACTTTAGGGGCGCCTGGGTGGCTCAGTCATTAAGCGTCTGCCTTCAGCTCAGGTCATGATCTCAGGGTCCTGGGATCGACCCCGCCATCGGGCTCCCTGCTCAGCAGGAAGCCTGTTTCTCCCTCTCCCACTCCCCCTGCTTGTGTTCCCTCTCTCGCTGTGTCTCTCTCTGTCAAATAAATAAATAAAATCTTTTTTTTTTTTAAAGATTTTATTTATTTATTCATGAGAGACAGAGAGAGAGAGAGGCAGAGGGAGAAGCAGGCTCCCAAGGAGCAGGGAGCCTGATGCGGGACTCGATCCCAGGACCCTGGGATCATGACCTGAGCCGAAGGCAGACGCTTAACCATCTGAGCCACCCAGGCGCCCCTAAATAAATAAAATCTTAAAAAAAAAGAAGTTTGGACTTTATTATAAGTCAAAATAGAAATCATCAAAGAATTTTAAAAATGGGTAACAGGATCTGAAATATTTTTTAAAGATGACTCTGCCTGCTACATACAGAATAGACGGAATTAGAAGCAGAGAGACCAGTTAAGGAGAGATACCACAAAAGCCTAGGCCAGAGCCAATCGAAGCCTTAGCTAGTTTGGCTTGAACTAGTTTTGATGATAAGCTAATCAGTTGGACATACTGAGTAAGAGCCATCAGATTCATTTAAAATGAGGATAACAGTTCCACTTTCTCAATTATTTTGACCGGTAAAGACAAACTTTTCAATTTAAAAACAAGACTTCACTAAAACTAAATCTTGCGTACTTTTAATGTAGCTACATGATTTAGATAAAAGGTCATTAAGGTTCATGCTAATTTTACTGCAACAAGGACATTTGTTAAGCACAGTAATGCAAATCTAGTTAAATACATATTCTGGTGAAAGAATCTGACCATGAAAAATCATAATCTGAAGAACTAAGTTTTGCATGGTTGCATTTTTAATGATTTAAAATTTTTTGTTTTGTTTAAAGAATGGCAACTGACTTTTAACGTGGCCTGAATGGTCCCCATTATGTTCAATATTATTAAGATAAGGTGCAAATGATATTTAAAACACTTTGGCTTTCTCTGTAAATAAATACCTTAAAATTTATAGACAATCTAACTTCTTTGATCTGAAAACTAAAGAGACAGTAAGCAATTAGTTCGCATTTAAACCTGGATGGATCAGAATCCAGAGTCTGGATGGGCCAAGAAAAGATCCATTTCACCTCCCAAGTACAGTATAGGTTTAGCCAACAGAATGTTGAAACCATTCACAACTACTTGGGAGTTTCAGTGAATGAAGATGCTGCTGTGTGGTTCAGGGACAGTAACAGCAGTAAAATGTACTGAAGTGATAGAGAACGAACAGACTTTACAAAAATACCAGAGATGATGCTCTTTTTTTTTTTCCTTTCCCATTCCCCTTAACCATCTTAAAATGAAAACTAAATTACTACCACTTTTACCTTAAAAAGTGCGTTTCCTGATAAATCCATGTGTTAGACCAATTTATTCTTATTTATTTATTTATTAAGATTTTATTAATTTATTTGTCAGAGAGAGCACAAACAGGGAGAGGGGCAGGCCGAGGGAGAAGCAGGCTCCCCGCTGAGCAAGGAGCCCCATGTGGGACTTGATCCCAGAACCCTGGGATCATGACCTAAGCTGAAGGCAAACGCTTAACCAACTGAGCCACCCAGGCATCCCGTATTTTTTTATTTATTAAAATAGCCTTGGTCACATTTATGTTTACCCAGCATTTAAAGTGGTATAGCTAGGCTAGCAGCTGTCAAATATTTACATTAAATCTCCTAATGCTTCAAACATTTCCCCCCAAAATACCAGCTTTTAATTTAATTAAAATTACATATTTCACATTAAGTATAATTCTAATATTTTTAAATGTGAAAAAAATTATATCTATGGTAACTGGCCTAAAAGCTTTTGGAACAAACCTTTTCAAGGAAAATGTCTTCTTTAAAAACTAAGGCTTTCTTTTAGGTCAGGTTCTCCTTGTGATCAAAAAGCTCACGCATGCACACTTTTCTCAACTCTCCTATTTGCCTTCATATCTGCAGAACATGGCTTTTAATTTTTCTAACAAATTTTGAGTTCTTTTATGTATTTCTAAATAATACTGTCAACATTTTAACTTAAATGCCCTAAGGCTGAACAATATATCTTACATATATATAGCATTTCTATTTAGATGTTTCACAGACTAATTATATGTAATTGCTTTCTATATTCAAAAGTAAAACCCAAACATAGGATTTTTGTTTTCAGAAAATTAGTATTGCAATTACTGTACTATAAAACTATTTTTTTACACAGTTAAGGATCAGCTTCTTAAGTGGCTCATCTACTCACTTTCCCTACCTTATTCCAAATGCATCAGGTATGAATCGTATGTTAAGTAACACCTTCCTGAACTTTGTCAAGGAAATCCATGCAAAATACAGATTAAGATATAGTTAAAAATAAAGACTAAAATTCACAACTGCAAACCAAAAAGTAAACTGTGTCAAGCCAAGCTTACTTCCAAATTCTGATTTTAAAGACTTCTCCAAACAGCAGGTGAACAGAGATTTCAATGAATATCAAAGAACACTACAGAAGAGGGTAAAAATGTGTTAGCTTTCTTCCTTGGGAGTGCATCAGAGTGACCTGGAGGGGCTACTCTAGGATGAAATGGGGTTTGAAACAGAATGCTTCAAAACAATTAACTAATGTATAAACAAGCAATTCAGTCCTCCCAGCCCACTTTCCTATTTTAGTCCTACCAAATGAGTCATGTAACTAGCCAAGTGATATCAAGAAGTCCCTGTTGTTCTGTCCCCAAGTCAGTGAACAGAAGGCATTTCTCCTTTATTATATCTTCAAAAGGTGAAATCTAAGAATTTCTAGGGGGTCTTCTGAGTATGTGTCAGTTTGGATCTCCTGTGTGCCTGTTATTTATAAATTACCAAGTAGCTATACAATAAATAATGCTTAAAAGGGGGGGGGATTTGGCTTTTGGTGACAATAATTCTCTCAACTAAAGGACCCTCCCCAGATAATTATTAATTCATTGAGCACTTGTCTAACTTGAAGTTGAGAGTAATTTTTGAGGAAATATCGAGGATACCAGGAGTTATTCCAACGCAAAGAGCAAGTAACGCCAAAAACAGGTGAATGTCTAGAGGGTGGGAAGATTGCAAGCACACACACAAAAAAAAGCAGAACCCTGACCTTGCCGGCAAGTCGAACAGTTGTGCACCCCTCCCCCTAGCCTCCCCGGGAGCCGGTTCACGCCATCCCAATTGGTCAGTCGGCCTGTTCCAGCACCTGCCTGGCAGTGACAAGCGAATCTCCACGGAAGACAAGAGGGTCTGAAAAGGAAGCGGCCTCGGAAACGCTTTGAGGCCCAGGAGGAAAGGATTCCAAGCGGAAAAGGAGGAGAGGACCTTCGGAGGGATGAGGCCGGCGGTCAGAGGCTCAGGGGAACAAGGCTTGCGAGGACGACTGGGGGTCAGGGGCCGGAGGTGTTAGCAGGGCCCGGGTGAGGTGAGAGGTTGAGGGCCGCCTGCGGGCCGCGGGAAGGGGAGAGCTAAGGGGCTGGGAGGCCCGAGGGAGCGGAGAGGGGCGAGCAGGCCCGGGGCGGCAGGGGCTGCGGTGGCCCCGGCGCGCGGACTCACGTTCTCCCACCAGCAGGATCCGCACGTCTTTCTTCATGTCGGCGGCTCGCAGGGACCGGGCTCGGCCCGCACGCATGGAGCGGACACCTCTCGCCGGGAGCGCCTACCCCGCGGAGCCGCTCTCCCAGCGCTGCCGGCACCGCCTGCCAGCCTCCCCCGCCGCCCCGCCCGATCCTCTGCCAGGGCCCGCCGCGCCGCCTCCTCGCCTGCTTCCCCGCTCGG